TGTGGGTGTATGAACAATGCAAGTCAAGGGAACAGAAACAAAGCCGCCTGCGTTAAAAACAGAATTCATGCAGTGCCTTAATACAGTAGACTGGAAATACAGACATTTGGAAAAGAAAGTTTTCACAGGATTTTGTACAAAAAACCCTTAACTGCTTCTGTGGCGGGATGTGGTGAGAGAGTTGTGCATAAATACATGCAGTGAGCGGTAGAAGTAGAAGGAGGAAGAAGAGTGGGCCATAATTCCTCCACAAAGATGTGAGAGACTGATAAAGTCCTACAGAAAACAATTCAAGTTACGGCTGCTAAAGGTGGTTGTACTAGCTGTTGAAAGGGTGTACTTATATTTTGACCAGACTGCTGCACAGAATCTTGTGCAAATCTTCTTTTTCTCATTACTCTCTGCTTTGTTTATTGCAGATCTCAGGAAGAGGAGGATGGAGAGAGGAGGAGGAAGCAGAGGACCTTTCAGTCCAAGTATGCTGAGTTTCCGCGTTACACGGCTCTGGATGCTGTGGGATGGGTAAGTCATGTGTTTTTGCATTTAAAATACAAACATGTAACCAAACATATTTCTTAGCATGTCCTGCATCACTTTTTCTGTGTCATTAACTTTATCAGGAATTGTCTTCATGTTCTAATAAGACAGTTGTCAGGACACATGTGAGGGCTGCTGTTGATTTAATATATTCAGATGGTAACATTCCTGAAGACAAAAGCCACTAAAACGACTGCTAAACATCAACATCATCAACACCGTAGCTGCACAGTTTGCTGCACACACTGCTGAAATCCACAGTATCTGCACTCAGTGTGTTCTGACTCCTTTAGCGCAGCTCAGTGGTTTCACTTTGTAACTGCTTTTTAAGCTACAGCAATGGCAGACATCAGTGGGCCAGCAGGTCAGACCCAGCTGTTTACCCCAGAGGACATTTTGCTCTCATGTTGCTGCAGCAGAACAATAGCTGCACTATGCTTTTATCATAATACGTATGTCCACTGTCTCTGAAATGTTCATGTTTTATTCACATGGACTGATTACTCATGAGTTTTAGCTGAAATAGAAACCTCTGTCACACTTGGTTGGCTGTTCCAGGCGAGGGTGCACTACATCAGATGTTCTCATTTGTTTGTCTGCAGGGTGCAGCAGCAGTTCTGTTCATGCAGCTCTGCAGGAGGATCCACTCCCAGTTTTCCTCAAGCACAGAGCCCAGTCCAAGCCCCGGAGCCCTGTCAGCCCCCTCCACTCTACACAACTGTGGCTATCACATCCTATTAGAGATCTGTGAGTTCTTCTGCATTGTTGTAGCTGTGGAGTAGATTTACACGAGGCAGATCCCTTGGCAAAATAGTTTCATACAGTGGACATGTAACCGTTTCCACAAAAAACCCCCACTTCTATCTTTTAACTTGTGTCCTGGCTATTTTGTTGCTTTCGCTCTTTTTGCGCAGTATCAAGACATGATGTCCTGCCCAGAGGAAGGAATGTGTTGTGTCTGCAGGGGGTGCTAGAGAGACAGAACCAAGATCAGTCCCCAACTCAGAGCAGTGACAGTGACAGCAGCAGCACACAGGACCAGCTGACTGCCATCTCTGACCACCAGAGGGAACTCCTGATCCAGGATGCACTTATACCAGGTTGGTTCTGTGCTTGTCATAGTTTAAAGATTGCTTAAAAGTATCTTAAAAAAATACATTTTATTAATTGATATTTTATGAAATAGAAAAATCAACAAGTATTTCCTCCTTGACTTGTAGAGGATGAATTCCTGTCAGCTTCCTGTCCGCTGCAGGATGATGCCAGCCAAGACAAGGCAGAGAAACCCGACACCAGTGATGAGGTGAGTCTTCATCATTTGGTTTGTCAACTTTAAAGAAAGGGGTTTTTTTTGTACTTTCAAAAAACAGACTTGACCTTTTGTCTTATCTTTATTATTGTGTTTTTATCCTCTTTAACGTTTCCAGGAAATGTTATCTGATGAAGAGAGGCTGGCAGCGGCAGCACTGAACCTCAGACGTGTGGAAGACATCTGCGTTCCTGTTGTCCTCAACATAATTGGTCATTATTTATCAGCGCACTTAAAAAAAACATATATATCAGATAAACTTAACACATACTGCTGTTGGAGTCAAATGAAATGGCCTTTGCACGGTTATTTTTTTTCCTCCTGTATGTTCCCTTATTTCCTGTTCTATATCTCCTTGTGTACAACAGGTCTAGAAAATGCCAAGAGGGAAAACCACCAGGAAGCTTTCACCTGTTTTCTCGCTGCAGCTCAGCAGGGCTACAGCAAAGCCCAGTTTAATGTGGCGGTGTGCTATGAGAAAGGTAGAGGAGTGAGGAAGAACAAGGAGAAGGTGAGACCCCGGCCATCACTCTTGTAGCAAACAGTTTTGCTTTTGTGGACCATGTAAATGTATAAAATTAAGCATGAATTGTTTACTTCTGATATTTAATTTCCTAATTGCATTATTGTAATATCTCCTGTGCTTTCTCTTTAAGGCTCTGCACTATTATAGGCAGGCAGCCGCGAGTGGCCACAGACAAGCTCAGTACCGCTGTGCAAAGCTGCTCCTGACCAGCAGAGGGCACCAGAGTCCAGAGGAGCTGAGCACAGCCATCGACCTTCTGGAACAAGCTGCTGCAGCTGGGCTGACCAAGGTAGAAGTCATGATCAGTTTCTCCCAGAGAACCATTGCAACTCTAGTACATTTATATATTATATTGTGTAATTTGAAAGAAAAAACAAACAAACTTGAAAACATTTTCAATACAGAAGAATTCAGCATGTTGCATTTGGAAAAGTACCCACTTACATTTGCAAAATGTAGAAATCAAATAGCTGATAATGTAAATACAATTTTTCATTCATATTTTTTTCCCTGGAACAAAACTTCTCTGAGAAAGTAAAGCATTTGTTAACATGCTGATATTGATACCTCTGCAGGCTCTCTCCACCTCTGTTATCTGAGCACTGAGAGATAATATTCATTTTTTTCTTACATTGCAAGATTTTTGCCTTTTAAAATTAAATAAGCTGAAAGCATCAAACAACTGGCTCAAACTCCACCTGGAGTCTTTTTTCCTTCTATCTTTAAGCATCTCTTAATTGTTATTCAAGCACATTTACTGCTATCAGCATGTATCAGGGGTTTTTTTTGGTTTTGTTTTTTGCTGATGTTGGCGCTTCCTTATTGAATTAAATCAACTTTCCATTTCTCCTCTTCAGGCTCAGCTCTGCCTGGCCTCCATCTACGCCCAGGATACAGTGAAATATGGTTTTAAGTCCATCCAGAACCTGGAGATGGCAGCAGAGAGTGGCGTGAGTGCTTCCTTTAGATGTTTCTAGACTTTAATCAATGCTTTATCTCAGAGATCGCCTCCCTTTTTAGAGTCGATCATGCTGGAGGTTGTCGGGATATCCGATAGGAAAAGATTATTCCAACAGTCTCCTGGTTTTTGATAATTAAAAAAATCTGCAGTTACAGATGTTTTGCAACTTTCTGGTGTAGTTGTGTTAAAGATTATAATCAGTTACTGTTTTTACAATTCGTTTAGGGCTGGTTTTGCTGACTGTACATTTAAAGTTTGCCCTGGAAGGTTTACCTACTTGAATTGCATGTTTCCTTTTGTTCTCAGGATGACACTGCTCAGCTCTTCTTGGGAAATTGCTATGAGAGCGGCTTTGTTGTGCAACAGAACTTGAGGACAGCTATTAAATTTTACAAACAAGCCGCTCGAGCGGGGAACAAGCAAGCTGAGAGATTACTGAGGCCTCCTAATGGAACCTATAGTAAGGATGCAAAAAATGTGCATTAATGTTAGTCACTGCATTGTTGTAGTACAGTTTCAGTGAGCCAAACAACAGTGATAATACTTTTATTTTTATTTTTCTGTCTCCATCTGTAGCAAAAGAATCAGTGTTGCGGTCCATCCATTCAGCTCCATGCTTCTCAAAGACATTTTCTCCTCTGTCAAGCTGTGTCACTCCCTCCACAAGTCAACCCTCCGCCCTCCCTCTCCTGCCTCACTCCTGGAGCACCGGGAGCCTCAGCGGGCTCCCATCTTTGTCCTCCGTACCCCTCCATCTCCATTCTCCGAGCACTGAGAGAAGAAGCTGCCAGTGGACTGTAGGAATAGGATAAATACCGAGAGTCAGCCGCATTACAGATTGAGGAATGTATTTCAAAGTATGAATGAGTTTTCAGAAACCTGGGAAAGGTCAAAGTGTGTTCGGTGTGTGAGGTCTGAATCGGAGTGAATTGCTTTTATACTCAAAAAAGAAACAAGTTTTATTTAGTTTTTAAAAGATGTGAGTTATTTTTTTATGTCAGAAAGAGCTGTGGAGAAAAAGGTCTTGGAATCAGAGAAGAAGCCATCTGTCATTTGTTTTTGTACACTACAGTTTTGTTTCTTACAATCTTCTCTCTGCTAAGTTCTCCAGACATGTGCCTTTTGGGTGGATCAGGTGGTTACTTATTTCCCTCCTTGCTAATAAGGATTTAATCATGAGGTATCTGATATCTTCTGTCTACTGCAGACAATAATGCCAACTTTAAACCTCTGAAACTGAGGAAGTGCTTCACATGAATGTTATATTTTAACCTTAAATAATATAATTATGTCTTTAGGTTAAACGGTTCAGTGTGGCTTGCTGTTGTAAAAGAAAGACTGCATGCTTGTGATAAACCAACCAAAGGGAAAATTAATGCACTGTGAGGAGGATGTTGTGTTGTCAAATGCGCACATTAAAAAAAAAAAAGATCCTAAAGGCTGCCTGGCTTCTTTTATCGTTATTTTAATACTCATCATAAAACTGGCTTCAAATTGTAGTTTTTCTGTGTTCGGTGTTGCAAAACAACATTGTCAGATTTGGAAATGGCTTTTCTGTTGTTGTTTTTATCACAGTCAGGTGTGCTCGAGCACCAGAAGCCATGCATTTTTCCTCAGACTTGTGTATGACGTAAGAGTCGGATGATGTGTGATTCCATTACCTGAGTCGCAAAATAACACCGGTATATTGATTGCGATTGCGTCTCCTTCCGTGCACCCGAGCGTCCTGCGTTCTCGGCTCCGATTGGTCGGCTGGCTGAAGAGCTCCACAGCGCCACGCCACTCCGGGATCCTCTGGCGCAGAGAGAAAGCGCAGCTTGGCCGCCTGCGAGCAAGGAGCCGGGCTGGGAGGGTTTATGATGTGATGTGATATGATAATACGGGCGGCCGGCTGCTGTTACGGGCGGACTCGGCAGTTAAAAAGCGGCCGCTGACTTCAGCCCTGCTCACTACTGTGTTTGCGTGTCGTCGGAGGAAAGGCAAGCGCAGAAGCCCCGGAGGCTGACCGAAGCGGTGAGTGGATGTAAATAGATGCTCTCGATGGGATGCGCTCCCCTCCCAGTGCGGCGGCGGCGGCGGTGGTGCTGGTGGTGGTGATGGGGCTAGAGAGAGAGGAGGGGAGGCTGGATGCTAAAGATTCACTGCGTCTGTTCACATATTAACAGATTATCTTCCGCAATAATGGCATTTACGGCGATCCATCCGCGCATTTCTCTAGATTTAAAGATGGGGTGCTTCTGATTTGTCAGTGAGGGGAGTTTATTAAGGAGGCAGCAAGAAGCGGGGAGCTAGAATACTCCACCCATGACATCATCGACTTTTTCAAGTTCATTTCCCCTCCTGCTTGAGCTTTCATCTGTTGCACTTGCTTCTGCGCTGAGGAAAGGAGGGCCCACCATAACAAGTTGGTTTCCCAACATATCTATACATATATATACATATATATAGATTTAGAAATTATGTGTTAATGTCTAAAGCTATAACACACAGGAAACCGATCTTTTCCTTTTTTGATGACCTTTAGGTGAAAACACTTTTATGTAATCCCCACTATCGGCAACAAATGAGCAAATAAGAGTCATAATCTAACACTTACCTCCAAAACTAGTACTAGTATGCTTTTCCTGTCAGTACCTTTTAAAACATTTTTTAGCAGTCTCCTTTGTCATCCATGTAAATCTGCTCATTTCCTCACTAACTTTGGTGTCACGTTCACATTTTGCATCATCACAACAGACAATGCAGCGCCCGGCAAGTATCAACAGCATGAACAACTAGACTGAGACCCAACTGTTTAATAAGGATCCACGTTGCTGACCAGCTGCTAACATCTTGTGCATCTCATGAATGACCTCTGCTGTTACACAGCACAACAGATTTATTGAGGACAACAGTTTCACTACCTCCGTGTGTTAACTGTGCCCTCACTGTCCAGCAAACTGCTGTGTCATCCTCCCCGCTTTATCCCTCTTATAACCATCCTTTGTCCTCCGCACACTTCACATATTCTCCTTGCTCCACTTTTATTTAAGCGGCAGAGACCTGCCTGTGCTGTTGTGGAGGAAGAGGAGAAGGAAAAGAAAAGGCCGTAATCTCTGTTTAAGATGATCCAGTTTGTCTGCGGCTCATACCCGACACAAATATGGGTGAAAGGGATGTGTTGATTCAATCAGTGTATTTGTTAGGGTTTTTATATTCAGTAGGTTGCAGCATATTTTGTTTCCATCTAATTTAAAGCTTGTATTGCTCAGATGTCCCATTTTGTGTGTTTTAGTCATATATTAGTGCGTCTGTATGTGAAACTACAGGCAAGAGAATTTAGGACATAGCATTAAAATGTGGCTTTAAGGACCTGTAAATGACAATAGAAAAAGAGCATTGCTTGAGACATGGCATGGCACAGTCTGCACCTGTTGACCTGACTTGATTGTGTTTATGTCTGAGTCACAGGCGTGAAGAGAGAAGTGCAGGTTCAGCACAAACTGGGTTACAGAGGCGACAACAACCACCCAGAGGGAGGAGAGCAGATAGGGGCCCCCGCATGGACAAAAGTGCACTGTCCGGGGAATCTGCTCTCTTTAACTTACCGCCTCCATCTTTTCCCAGGATCTTGTCAAGCTTTGAAATCTGCTGTGTCTGACTTTTCCATGTTTCTAAGTAGAGGTGCCAGTGATGACTCCAGCATTGTTTGAGATGTGTGCATTTGTGAAAAGATGTTTATACATTAAGATTGCGTGTCTGGGCATGTTTTCCCCCCGCATCTATTAGTTGTTTACCAGCTTTCTGCAGGGTGGGAGCCTAATTAAATGATCTAAAAAGCCATGTTACGTGTCACAGCTTAAGAGCAAGGTGATTTTCTGCCGCCGCTGTCTTTGTTTCTATCCATCTGTCTGCATTACGCATCACAAAGCTGATCCACCCAGAGATAAAAGAGACACGGCTAGCTAGTTAGCAGGAGTAGGCTGGCACTTCTCCTCCCCACAGACCAGCTTACCGCTCAGCTCGGGCTTTGAATGTCAGTCCTAGTTGAATAAATTGAGGGTCTGACTCACTCCAGATATCATATAAATGCATTCCAGCTACATGACTTTGATGCAGTGTTTCTTTTTAACACTTCAGAAGTGACACCTTGTGTGTAAAAGGGGTGTGAGGCTGGAAGAGGATCTGCACCATCGTGCATTGATCAAAGCCTCTGAGACTGGTCAAGCCGCAGGAAGAGAGATGATCAGTTGTGAGGCTGGGGAAGTGTGTCAGCGTGATAATGCTGCACATTGAATGATGTCAGTGAGCAGTTATTCTAAGCAAGTAACGTTAAAAAAACGAAATTATATCATGTTATATGTAAAAGTAATTATTTGGGGAAGCATGCAAGCAGGAGAGTCCAGAGAAACAAGGATTTTAAAAATATAATAACCCAGTGACTAAACAATAGGCAGTTGTAGAGTAAGTGGGCGTAAAAGAATCTTGCAACCACAAAAAAAGCTCTTAAAATAAAGTGAGTGAGCAGTAAGGCTTCAAGGCTGGTTGATATTTATAAATCTTTTATTTTAAAAACATATGTAAAATAAGTGTATCATTAATGTGGTTTTATGTTATGTTTTTGTCAATCCATATATTATTTGACCCAATAAACCTTTTTAAATTAGACTACATAGCTCAAAGTGCCTCATTTGGAAAGACCAAAACATCACCAAGACTTTTTAAGGTAGTATAGTCAGTGAACCCTTTTGGGGTTGAGTCGGGAAGAGCATCCGGTGTTAAAAATCTGCTGCGGCAAACGTGGCAGAAGCCAAAAATAGCTCCTCTTCATGCTTAATCAATACTGGCAAAAATAATAATAATTACATATAAAGCTGTAGGTCAGGTTATAATGTGTTACTTAACCTCTAACAGGCCATCTCCTCTATCATCAGCTCTATCTCTGCAGTGATTTTCCAGTCAGCCATGATGTCAGTAAAAACTCCTCCCCTCTCCCGCTCTGGCTCCTCGCCCTCCACCGTTGGTCTAGCGAATCGCAGCGGGGCCTCTGCCACCCCTCCGACCTCTCTCAGCCTTCGCTCATCATACAATCAGCTGCTTGGACGAGATGTCATTAAAGAGTCCATGGAAACCGGAAGTTCGGCCACCTTGCCGAAGAGCCGCCAGAGGTACGCGATGACCAGCGTGCGCAGCGCCATGGGGATAAGTGACAACTTGGCTTTGCTGTCTAAAAACCAGCCTGTAACCAGAGGACGCGGCCTTCCCACCAAGTCCTCCTCCAGCTCCGCCCTTTACTCCTCTTCTTCCTCTTCCTCGCTGTTTAATACAACTAACCCCAAACTGGTGAAGAATGGCGCCAACATGCAGAGACGAGCTGAGAGCCAGCAGCTGGAGCTCAGCAGGGCCAATACAGAGGGCAAAATTGACAACGATCTCATCAATAATCCCACTTCAGACTGGCTAGAATTTGAGAAAGATAACTCGCAGCTTCCGCCCTTTCGAAGAAGGACCAAGAGCTTCTTGGAGTACCATGGAAAGGGCTGGGATCTGGACCTAAACCAGGGAAACAAAGAGGACAAGGGGGAAAAGAAGCAGCAGCCCTCCCCAGAGAAGGAACAGGCTAGTCCTGCGAAAGAAAGGGAGAGTCAGAAGGAGGAGAAGGCCAGCAGCAAGCAAACCTGCCAGGAAGAGAAGGAGGAGGTTGAGCCGGTGGCGGAGGAGGATGAAGAAAATGATGAGCCCACACCGACGGCAAGACAGCCACTGCTACCTGTGGTAGTCGAAGCCCCTCTTTCCTCCACCCCCTCTTCTTCCAGTAACAGCCCAGAGTGGGTTCCAGACAACCACAACCACCTGCAGAACCAAGTTCCAGCCCAGGTCAAAGAGGAGCTCTGCGCCCAGGTTCAGGCTAGCCCACGCAGCCCTGCAAAGCCTCCCCGAAGCACCCAGCCCCGGGTGATCAAGGTGGAGCTACACCCCAACAACGAGAACCAGTTTCTTCAGCAGTACCCACCCTCTTCACCTAAACAGGCCAGAGCTGCAGAGAAGACCACGCCTACCAGGAATCGTGCGCCCCCTCCTCAGCCTGAACCAGAAACCGGCCTTCCAAAAGTGGGCTTAAGAATGGATCTCACTCCTGAGACTCCATCAGAAGATGAAGACTCCAGTTGGACCACCCTATCTCAGGAGTCACCCTCTCCACAGACTCCAAAAGAGACAGGTTCAGTATATATATCTGTGTGTGTGTGTGTGTGTGTGTGTGTGTGTGTGTGTGTGTGTGTGTG